AGGCGAATCCAACAGAATGTACATGGCATTTCTACCAAAACCTTCCACACCAGCTGTGGCATTCTGTACACTAAAGTGCTGGCTTAATACTTGCTTTATCACACTCCAGAAACCACCAAGGATTCTAAACTTATTATCCAAGGAAAGGTGAAACATCAATAACAAATACTGCTCCCCCAAACCAAGAAATACTGGTCCAGAACCTCTGACAGAACCAGAAGGAGAAAATTACCTTAACAGGCTGACACTACTGCAGGAAGATGTGGAGGTGCATCTGCTGCCCTGCTGCTGGCTCCAGAGGGACAATGACATGAGCACAGGCATCGCTGCTGGCTCCAGAGGGACAATGGGATGAGCACAGCCATGGCTTCTGCAGAGCCCTAAGAAGCCCAGCCTGCTCTGGGCTCTGATCTGTCACAGCTGGGATCACAAATGCTTTCAATTTCTCAGGAATTTATTTTCTCAAACGATCTAGATGCAAGAACTAAAGCCCAAGAGGCTTCTTGCCCTCCATAAAATGTGAAAAAGTTCTGTGAAGGCAATTTTATTAATGTGCATTATTGCTAGAATAAGGCACAGTAGACAATTCCTCATTTCCTACTGAAAAATATGGGGGTGGAGGGTAATTGGCATAGATTGAGTTAGGAAGCTGGTGCCTTGGAAGTTCCTCTTTTTTTGCATGATATTCCTATTCTCACATGGCAGACATTGCCTGCCCTCATGCTCCATTGGAACAGAGGAACGGGAAAAATAAGCACAGAAAAAAGAACACGTGCAGTGAAAGACAGGGAAAGCTGGAAATATGGAAGAAACAAAAAACAGAAAAGGAAAGTTGAGAATCAGCAGAATTTGGCTTCCACTCTGAATGAACAAAAACCAGAAAAAAAACCTAACCAAAACAAAAAGTTTCATTTTGAAAATGCAACACTTACTGTGCCAGAGACACATTTGTGCAGGCAGCTCCACCAGAATGTTTTCCTTGTTTTCCTCTACTTTTCAGAGCACTTAATATTGCTCCTAAATTACTTTGATTTGTGCCAACCCATGACAGCCCACAGCACCCATTGCATGGAAACCACTGTTTCACTGTTCTTCAGGGGTAAAACAGAATTAAATCCAAGAATGATTGCAGCAGCTTTAAGCTACTTGCAGTTCAAACAAGATACAAACTTCCTTAGATTGAATTGCCTGATCAAGAGTTATTAAAACTATAGGGTCTAGGTTTACCTGCCCTTTATTCTTCCCCAGTGTCCCAATAAATTAGTTTGGGGTCTTCTCTCCAGCCCCAGGATATCAGCAAACCAGTGTATCTCCACTGTCAGGACTGCACTTCTGGTATCCCTCAACTACTTCTATGCTTGGGATAGCAAACAATAAAAATTTCAAATTATATCAGAGTACCTTTTCAGAGAGGAGCTGATGTGCTGCCAGCTCCCAGCCTGGCTCTGCTGCCCTTGGGAGGCTCCTGCCTCCTGCTTCCAGATAAATGGATCTATTGGCTCCTTTCCCTTCCCCCTGTGCTAAATAACACCACTGCAAAGCCCTGGCTGATGGCAGGATGCAGCCACTGAGAAGTGCCCCTGGGTCAATTGCACCATGGAAAACCCCGGCGCTGAGCTCAGCTGAGGAGCTGCAGCTGCTGGTTACAACACTCAAATGCAAATGGAAATAAAAAAACTTTCACAAAGCAAACAGCACCACACTGAAGCATGCAAAAAATGCATTACAGTAGCTTTACTTCCTATTTCCTTTTCCTTACAGCTCTGAAAATTATAGCTGCAGAAGACCTTGGGGCTTTTGTGGACACTTGCTCGTGATCAGGCTGCTGTGGGACTGGCTGAGTATTCAGGAGCCATGTACCACAGACCCAGCACTTCCATGGGATCATCATTTAGGGTGGAAAAGCCCTTTAAGAACTGCGGCCAGAGCCCTACAGATAGCATGGTGCAAATGTCTTACTCTAGCTGGTATTGCTTGTAGTCATAAAAGAAGGGAAAATTATGTAGAAAGGATAATAAACACCCTTTTGAAGACAAAATGCAATAGGAACTCCAAAGGTTCATTCAAAATAGCTCAGGTATGTCTTTGTCCAAGGCTCAGGAATCTTTGACAAGAAACTACGGAGGTGAAAGAGGCAGTATTAGGAAACAGGAACTGAAGCAATATCTGATGGGAAAAGAGAAGTAACTGGGATATTTCTCAGCTGGTTTCACATCCAGGCATCTCCTTTCATGCACAATCACTCCTGCTTTACAATGGGTGGGAAAGTGAGAGGTTTCCCAGATTGCCCAGGGTATGGAGCTGATGGAAACATCATCATGTGCAGACTGATTTATGAGGCACTTCTTATTTAAGAGAGAATTTCTCCTCTCATGCAAAACCAGCAGGATGCCAGCAGAGGTAATCCTGCTTGATATGGATGTAGCATCTGCATTACCTCCCTCAAAATATGTGGTTGTGTGGGTTTATTTTAGAATATCCAAATATACAGGAGGGTTTATGTTTCTGCTTTCCCATGTTTACATATAAATAAACCACTTAAACATACTCCAGCACCACAACAGCCAGCAAACCCAGCTACACCCACAGAGACTGGGCTTGGTTTAATTTCTAACAACTCTGCCAAGCAGGTATTCCCCACTTCTTCCTACAGTAACTTGTGGTGATGTACTTCGTTTAAAGACATGTTTGGAGAGGCTGTTTTATTGTAAGTGTTTCCTCAGTACCAATTTTTAACTCACATTTTCACCTAGCAGCTGCTTCATAGGAGCACAGAATGGTTTGGGCTGGAAGAGACCTTACAGACCATGTCATTCCAAAGCCCACCATGGGCAGGGACACCTTCCACTGGACCAGGCTGATCCAGAGCCCCATCCAAGCTGGCCTGGAACACTTCAAAGTCCCCCATTCAAAGCCTCACACCACTGGACACTGGGAGCTGCTGGGGGTCCTGTGCTCAGTGGCTGGGGGCTTCCACCCAGAGCAGCTTTTTACCTCCCATCAAAGAAAAATCTGGTGCCTCCACAACCATGAGCTGATGCCAGATTTGTAGTGCAGAGGAGGAAAGCAGCACAGCTGCAGGAAATGCAGGGACATTTGGGTAAATCACAGCAGAGCACCTGGGATTGCCCCCTGTGGGGGTGCTGAGTGTGACCCGAACACGAGGGCTCTGTGTTGTGTCCCCATCTGAGCACACATAACAGGGATGATGCAATTTACCACAGGTTCATTTTTCACAGTCTTTTATCAGAGTAATTTAGAAACATCAGCAGACTGACAAGAGGCAGTGTGATGACTGAACTTACCCTCACCTTGAAGCAGGCTGGGAAATATTAACCACAAACATGAAATGAACATACCACAGCCAGCGGGTTTTTGGTTGCTTTTTTTTTTCTCTTTTTAGGGTTGTGTTTTTTTAGCTCATTAGCCATGACACCTTTTATAAATGTATTTGTAACACTGCAGAAAAGTGAACTGAAAATTCCAGAAGTGCATTTTATGCACTACAAAATAGGGTTTCTTCCAGTTTACTATCTTAGGTATTTGTAACACTGCAGAAAAGAAGAACTGAAAATTCCAGAGGTGCATTTTATGCACTACAAAATAGGGTTTCTTCCAGTTTACTATCTTAAATTTGACTTTTGCTGTATCCCAGTATAATACTCAGCTTGAAAAGAGCATATGTGTACCATATCCTTGAAAGGAGTGTATGTTATAATGGCATATGTGAACCAATGTTTTACATGTGCAAAGGAGAAATTACTCCTGCCAACATCTTTGAGGACACTTAAATACTAAAATAGGTGTTCTCCTTTTCCAAAACATGTTTTATTTAAATTCCTTTTAAACACACTTCATTTAATTTGCAGTGCAGCAGCCAAACAATCTCAAAATAATATCTGACTAGGGTATAATACTCTATTTTTAGGATAATAAATCCATATGGAGTCCCACAGATAGTTAAGTGAAGACCCAAACCCTGACATGAGAACTGATCCCTGATTAAAACCTCCTTAAAAAAGTCTAACACCCCCAGAAGACCAGATAATTAAGATACAATGTATACACTCATGCACTTGTGCCTATGGGAATATGGGAATGTCCAATTTCTAATGCATCAGCAGCTGCTTCCTTGCAATAAGTCCCACAGCCAAAAGCCAGGCCTGGTCTTCACCTGCCCCTTGCAGCCTAGAAACTCTGCCAGACATCCTGGTGATCCTCACTTTGACTTTGATCCCCCACCTTAACTTCTGTACCACTTTTCTCTTGGCCTTGCCGTGCATGGACTTTTCCTCTGAGACACCCACCATGCTGCCTATCTCCCTTTAGATTGCCTCACCTTTCCTACCCAGCCTTGCACTTCCTCACCATTCCTGACCATTCCTTTCCTGACCCATCCATATCCTTCCTTTGCCCTTCCTTCCAATCCAGCTCCTTGCGTTCCCATCCTCCACCTGGAATTCAACACCCCTCTTTTTGTGGAATTTCTTCAACTTGCCTTTCCCTGCCTGCTCCTCCTGGGACTCTCGAGGCCTTCACATACCTCCAGTGTTTCAAGAGCACTTGAGAGGAAGCCCAGAGGAGGTCATGTGCAAGCACACCCATCTGTCCTGGCACCTTTGTTCTGGCACCTACCCTTGCATGTCTCCAATTTTGGACACAAAATTCACATTTTGCCCTTGGGCTCCAGAATGACAGTTCTTTTGCACACGTGGGAAAGCAGGTAGCCCAAGTGTTTTAAGTGCAGATTAGAGATGGCCACGTGAGATCAAGGCCAGACAGAGCAGTCTGTCCTGGCTACTTTTGTGTACCAGCAATCCTTCAATGTACCTGCCACTTGCCTTGCCTTGGCACCCCAGGTTTCCTTGCCTTGCCCTGCTGATCCTCCCTTGCTTCCCCACCCTTGACCCACCCATTCCCCACCCTTGACCTGCCTACTGCTTCCTGGCTACTTTTGTGTACCAGCAATCCTTCAATGTACCTGCCACTTGCCTTGCCTTGGCACCCCAGGTTTCCTTGCCTTGCCCTGCTGATCCTCCCTTGCTTTGCATTCTCTTGCATTCCCCACCCTTGACCTGCCTACTGCTTTCCTCCAGAGCCTTACCTCCAGGCCTTCACCTTGTTTGCATTTCCTTGCCTTTCCTGTCCCTTCCTTTTCTTTGCCTTGCTGTGCAGTCTGTAGCCTTCCCTTAGCCTTCCTTCCCTGCACTGTTTTGTATTGACTTGCTCACTCATACCTGACTTCCCTTCCCACTTGTCCAGGTCAACCTTTTTTTCCTTCTCCTTCTAACACTCAATTGCCTTGCCTACCTCTTTCTTTTGTTTCCTTGCAAAGCCACTGATTGTCTTGCCTTGCCTTTGAACCCCTGCCTTGCCTTCTGTTGCTTTGCTCACTCCTCCCTCACCTGGAATCCATGACCCCATTTCTCTGGGCATGTCCCAGCCCTGTCCTGCCCTGCCTGCTCCCCTGAGGACTCCCAAGGCTGATCAATAACCCCAGTGCTCCAGAAGCATGTGAGAAGAAGCCATAGGGAGGTCCCAGGCAGCCAGATCTGCCTTTCTGGGCATTTTTGGTGTGGAATCAGCACTTGCATGTGTTAAATACTGGACAGGCAACCCAAATTTTGCTCTTGGGCTCTGGGACCAGAATAACAGTTCTTTTGCATACACAGGAAAGCAGGTGGCCCAGGTGCTTTAGGTGCAGATTAGAGACAGCCCATGTGGGATCAAGGCCAGACAGAGCATTCTGTGCCTGGCTGTTTTTGTATGCCAGCAATTCTTGAAGGCACATCTTATTTGCCTTGCCTTGGGAATCCCAACAGTCTCCTTGCCTTACCCTGCAAACCCTCCCCAGCCTCACACTCCCTTGAATGCCCCACCCTTGACCTGCCTTCTGTTTTCCTCCAGGGCCTTGCCTTGCCTAGCCCTTCCTGTTTCTGCCTGCCTTACCCTTCAGTGGGCTTACCCTCCTGTGCCCAGCCTTGCCCCTTCTGGGCCTGCTCCTGCCTACCACTCCATCTGCTTTCCCCTCTTCTCTGACCTTGCCCACCTGTACCTTGACTTGCCCACAGTTGCCTGCCCTGCGTGGAAGGCAAGGCAAGGAGTGGTAGGCAAGGCAAAGCAAAGCCAGGAAGCTCTGGGTAGGGCGAGGCAAGACTGCCGTAGGCAAGGCAAGCAAAGCCAGGGCAGGCTGGGAAAACTAGGCAAGGTACTGAAGGCAAGGCATGGCCGGGAGCCTCAGAGTGCTTTTCCTTGGGAAGCAAAGGACATAGTGCCAGTGTTGGTAGGGCAGATGTCAAGGGACCATGGGAAGGTATAGTCCAGCAAGACATTTCTGTCCTGGCTCCTTCTGTGTAGGAGCCATTGTTGGACATGTTCAATACTGGAGACAGGGTATGCAACTTCTGCTCGCCAGGTTCCTGAATGAGAATGGCAATGCTTTTTCATGGGAAGGAAAGCATGTAACCCAAGTGTTGGAGGTGCAGATAAGAAGCTGTGTTGTGCAGGTCAACAGCAGTCGCAACTTTCTGTCCTGGCATATTTGGTGTGAAAGCACTGCCTCAGTGTGTATTATTATGGAGTCAGTATCCATCTTTGGAAGGTTGTCTCCTGAAAGATTCAATTTGGCATGTAGTTCCCACTTCTCAGAGGTGACCTTCTTGAAATTCTGGAAGCACGCTTGTTTTGGACAAGGTAAACAGCTACACTGAGGCTTGGTGTGCAGCTGATCCAGTGCCCCGGGCAGGTAAACAGTGTTCTGGCACTTTTGTATGGGATCAGTCACTGGAAGCTTTGTATTTTGGAGGAGGGGACGCCATTTCTCTTGAGATGGGCTTCTAGTTCCTCTCTTTGGCAAAGAAAGCAAGTTTGGACGCACACTTAGGGTGAGCCTAGTGAATTTAAAGACTTTTCCCAATAGGCAGTTCTCTGGGTTAGAGCTGTTGAACTGTCAGTGGGAATGCAGACACCAAGCTGTTCCACTTTCTGTCCTGTTAGCCTTAGTGTGTGAGCAGACCCTGGTGCTGCTCCATTTGGATCCTGACTGTGAGACTGAAGGCTTAGGATGGTACCTAGAGCTGAGAAGTGCTGATAGCAGGATGTGTGCTGCTAGCTTGATGGGTGCAGTTGAAATGTAGGCAGCAAGAGCTTTTTCAGCTGGCACTTTTGTGAGCTCTGTTTTTGACAGATGTTCTCAAGTTTGTTAGAAGTTTCACTCTTCGAGAGTGAAAAGCTTTGTTGGGTAAAAGAGTTTGTGTTGCCCTTTGAGGGGGGTGCAAAGAAGAGTGTGCACTTGGAAGGGGAAGATCACCAAACGTTTTTGTCCTGACACAGTTGATTTGAGAGCAGGGCCGTTTCCGACTTGGCTGTGTCCTGGGCGGGTGCTTTTGAGCCGTGCTCAGTGTGTTTCCTTCTTTTTCGAGCGGACACCACCATCGTGTGGTTGTTTTGATGAGCACTGACAGTGCCCAGGACAAAGCCAAGCTCTTTTCTGCCCGGGCCCCGTTTGTGTGGGAGCAGTTCGTGGAAGAGCTCTGCTGTGGATCCTGGCTCTTGGGCACTGACAGAATGGGATCCTGCATGTAGGGAGGAAGGAAGAGGAATCATTTCATTGTTGGCTGAGCAGTTTATCGGCTGCAAAAGGAAAGGCAATTGCAGCACAGCCTCTTCCTTTTAGAGCCTTTTCTGTGCCATCAGCTGCTCAACATGTAATTTGCACCCACTGAACTGCGTCCACCTCCCCGGAAATACACACTTTCTCTCAAGCCCTATGTACCATGCCACTCTCACAGACCCCAACCCCTTCAAGACATCCAGAAGCTGCTTGCAAAAAAAGTCCTTCAACAAAAAACCAGCACTGGCCTTCATAGTCCTTATGCAGTTTGTAAACTAGACAAAACACATTACTGACTCACATTTCCCTTCTCAACTACATATGTAGCATCAGCACAGTCAATTAAAGCATTTCCAGCTGAAGTTCAGACTGCAAGATCTGCCAGGGAACAAGGCATTTGCTAACCTTCCCTCTTCCCGAGAAACCTGATATTCACAGCACGATCACTTTCACACAGCTTCAGTGCTGCTGAGTCCAAGCAGCTCACAGAAAAATAAATCTCATGACAGAAGACATTCCTAACATAGCCATTTCTCCTAACAGCATTTAAATCGTGCAGAGCACACTGGGACAAGGCCTTCCTTCTCACATATATGTCCTGTCACATTTTCCTGTGTCTCTCTGGATTTTCAGTCCTGGGGAGGCCGTAATGTGTGCCGTGGTACTTCAAGCTGAGAAGGACCATGCAGAGAACTTGGAGATCTGATGGCACTTTGCATGTTGGAAAGCAGACTGCATCAGGAATGTGCTGCGAATAAAAGTTTCCTCAAGTTTGAGGTGCAAGTGCCAAGCAAGCTTGTTGTCCTGTCACACTTCTCTGTGCGAGACACAGCTGAGAAGTTTTTGTTTATATTCAGACAGCAAGAGAGGCAGAATGTGGAGGCACGTAGCACTGAGAAGGAAACTGCATGGCCCAGGTGTGTTTTGGCAGAAGCAATGCTCAGGAGCTCTCTGCTTCCAGCAGAGTGCTCTGTGTGAGAAGTAGACGATGATTCTGCTCTGGGAGAATGAATGTGCAACAGGTTAAAAAGGCAAAGAATGAAGCTGTAGAGCAAGAAGCTGGTGTGTGCAGCGGACAGGCTGCCAGAGGAGCACGGCTGCCACTCGCTCACCTGCCAAGTTCAAGGTGCAGCCACCTATTCTTCTTCCAGCTCTATGTGAAAATAATTTCCCTTACATTTAGGCGCTGAGGTCCAGACAGCACGATGGGAGACACAGTGGAGAACAGACACAGAAGGCACCGGTGAGTTTGGTGTGACTTACGTGAGGCAAGGGGAAGCAATGGCTGTGCGTTCTAGAGATTATTTGACAAGGGCCACTGCTGGATGTTTGCAACAGAGCTGCGAGAGTGAAAAATGTGACAGTCTGTATGTCATAGTCTATATGTGAGAAGGACAGCCTATATGTGAGAGAGACAGCCTATATGTGAGAAGGAAGATGTGCAGTCCCAGTATGCTCCATGCAATTTCAATGCTGCTAGGAGAAATGGCTGCTTTAGGAACATCTTCTGTTGTGAGATGTTTCCCTCTATCCTGAACTCAACATTTTTACTCTTCCTGGGTCAACCAGAAGGCATTTAGCCTTGGCATCATTCCTATCTGCCTGGGCCACTTGCAGCAGTGCCAGTTCCCAGGTGGGTGGAGCAGGGCAGACCCAACGTATTTAATAAGAGCCCATCAAAAACTCTCTGTAGAGCAAACTTGTCCCCTCCAGAGCTAAAAGGGCATGGATTTTGGTGCTTCCCCAGAGAAAGGCAGTTTCTGAGCAGCATTCTGCTGGGTTCTGCTGTGTACCTGCTTTGTAGATTGAAGGCAAGGTCAGAGGTACTTGGATCATTTCTTCCTGTCACTGGAGTCTGGGACAGAAGAAGATGCTCCACAAGGCAACTGGAATGGTTATCACAGGGTTAAACTAAAGTTTTAAATTTAGTAAGACTAAATTAAAGCTAAATTATATAAATAACTCTAGGAAATATTGGCTGTAACACAACTGCAAACCCAAAGTGCAAGCCAGGTTTGTTAAATAATCATTAAATCAAATACATCACCATTAACAATGCTTTATCATGCTTTAAGAACAGAAGTAATTTAGCAATATGGTTTAAATTTTCATGAATTTATTTTATAATACCTGGATATCAGAGTAGGTTTTTTTGTATGCAGTCCAGAAACCAAAATTATGATTGCTTTTAGGCTGCAACTAATCAGCTATGAAGCAGTCTGCCCACTTCCTTGAGTTAGCACCAGGAAAAAAACAAAACTTTCCTGCCAATCTGGGGGATTTTTAGCAGAAAACCTGAGTTTTTGATAAAACTGTTTACTTCTAGCCATTATTTTCATTTCAGACAAACTCCCTTGGTGATATTTTTAACTTTCAGTGGGTTAAACACTGCTGCAGCCTTCTGTGAGCAGTAAAATACTTTAGCTTTGCCATCTTCTGGCACATGGGTATACATTTGTACCTCGCTTTGGGCTGAGTTGTTTCTTTACCCAGACCACACCAAAACAGTGCCCCCATCCCCCCATCCTGTTCACCCCTCAGCTCTGCACGCCTCTGCTACCTCACCCTCATCTACAGGAAGCAATATTTTACATTCTGATGACTCATGGTTCACACAGCACATCATAACTCCCTATTTATGGCACAGTGACCCTTCACATGGCTCCCCACCCTGCCAGGTTTGAAATGATCATGGACACTCCTCAAGAGTGACCCTGATCCTTGTGGTGGGGTTTCCTCCTTCAGACTACAGGGTTTATTCCCAGGGTGTCTCTTTCTTGCTTAATGCAGCCTCTGTGGTGAGGCTTTCACAGCCCAGCTGTGTGACAGTGACAGCGTGGTGTTCTGCTGGCCTGCTGTGGTACTGGCACACACAAACATCTCCAGCACCTGCATGCACGGAGTTTTTTCTCCTCTTATTGCCAGGTTTTCCAAGTTACACTGAAAGCTTACAGGATTTGATGGCACAATTCAAGATGCAGCAGCAGTAATAACATCTCCAGCACCTGCCTGCACTGAGTTATTTCTCCTTCCCTTATTGCCAGGTTTTCCCAGTTACACTGAAAGCTGAAAGCTTACAGGATTTGATGGCACAATTCAAGATGCAGCAGCAGTAACAAGCAGATCTCAGGAGCAGGAACGACCCAGCAGCAGGAACCCCAGCTTTATCAGCTTGCCTGCCTCCTGCCAGCTCCCTGTGCTTTTATCATCGTCAAAGTGGCATAAACACAGAATGGCTTGGGTTGGAAGGGATCCTAAAGCTCATCTTGCTCCAACCCCATCTCCATGGGCAGGGACACCTTCCACCAGACCAGGTTCCTCCAAGCCCCATCCAGCCAGGCCTTCAGAACTTCCAAGCTTTTCTGAGCATTCTGTGCCAGAGCCTCACTACCCTTTCCAGGCAGAATTTCTTCCCAAAATTCAATATAACCCTGCCCTCTCCCAGTCTGAAGCCCGTTCCCCCTTGTCCTGTCACTCCAGGCCCTTGTCAGAAGACCTTCTCCAAACTGACATTTGCTGATCAGCTTCAAACCAGCACTAAAAGCAACGCAGAATACTGCTCCTATTTTTTTAATCTTTGTTTTTTCTTTCCTTAGCAGGGTGTGTCCTCCAAGAACACAACACTAACAAAGGAAAGCTTCTGCTAACACCGACTGGAGTCCTCAGGGCTGTCTCTGCACTGCAATGCAATCTGTCCTTAGAAACATCAGTGCCAGGAGGAAACCTGACACTTTTGCAAATAGGTCCAAATCAAATACGTCAACATTACAAGCCCTAACAAACAAAAAACTCACTTGAAAGCTACAATCCTTCCTGCCTGAGGCCATAATACAGTCATGCTCTTAGGCTCACCTTCACTGGGCTCAAAATAGCCCCAGAGACACCAGGACCCAACGTGCAGCAGCAGCACCAGTCTGGCTCCAGTGGTGGGGCCAATACAGCAGAACTCATCCCAGCCATGCCCAGGGTCAGAAACACAGCTGCAAGGTCTGCCAAGGCATCCAGCCCTGAGTTTGAGTGAATTTACAAGGTGGTCTAGCAAGCCTGGCTCTGTGCCCCCAGTGAAGAGACACAGAGCTGGGTAAGAGCTGGATGCTCCAGTGCAGCCCAAATGCCCTCTAATGGGAAGAAGGCACTGGAGAAGGGGACAGGGTACCTCTGCCTTGACAGGGACACCCAGGACCAGGACTTCTACAGCCCACAGTGCAGAGTGAGCAACAGCTACAGACACAACTCCCAGTTCAAAAGCTTATCAATACTCCACCTGTATTACTTGCCAAAAAAATAGTGTTAGCCACCAGGGATTTTCTTTTCTTTTTCCCAGGATGTTTCCAAGGCAAAAGAACAGACATTATCAAGCAGGTTTGATGTCTATAAAAGAGAAATATCCTATCACTGAATACTCACATAGTCTTTTTTTGTCCCTTTCCCCATGTAAGTTCTTAGTTGTAAACAAAGGTAAACAGACAAAAGAAATTGCAGAGGAAGATGTACTTCAACAAATAGATAAACTTTTTTTTCCTAAAACTGTCTCAATTCTGTTTATGCTGGGAAACAGCACCCTCCATTCTCCTCAAATAACAAACCAACTCTGAGCTAATGATGCAATTCCTGCAATCAAGGTCACAGGCCTGGCTTCACTGGAGCAGGCACTGAATGCTGTATCCAGGGCAGAATTCAAAACCCCATTTAAAATGGGCTGAGAATCAACAATTTAAGCAATTTGCTGAACAGGAGGAAAAGCACTTAGCAAATGTTTTTCTCTCAAAAGCAAAGAGGAAAGTTGGAAACCTTGGGGGTCATCTTGAGGGCTTCCTGGAGAGGAAGCCACAGGGAGAGCTCCTCCCCACCAGGGTGAAACCAGGACTTTTCTCCATCTCCTTTAGGCAACACCCAACCAGGAAAGAGGGTAGTTCAGAGAGAGAAGGGATGTCTCACCACTCAAACCTATCTGCAAAAATCAAATTTCCCAGCTGACCCTCCCTGGGGTGTCAGTGCCTGAAAGCAGCAGCTGTGACCCCGCACTGCGAACGGTGGCGGCTCCGTGGCAGGAGGGACATGGGATGTGCCAGGGACACGGGCAGGGGCTTGACAGCCCTTCCTGGGAAGACATTTTTCCTAATATCCAACCCAAACCCCCTCAAGTCTGAGGCTCTTTCCTCTTGTTCTATCAGTTATCTGTGAGCAGAGACTGATCCTCCCATGGCTCCTGACTCCTGTCAGGGAGTGGTGGAGAGTGAGAAGCTCCCCCGAGCCCCCTTTTGTCCAGGCTGTGTGCCCCCAGCTCCCTCGGCTGCTCCTCAGCAGACTTGTGCTCCAGACCTTCCCCAGCTCTGCTGCCCTTCTCTGCACACACTTCAGCCCCTCAGTGTCTTTCTTGTCACAAGGGGCCCAAAACTGAACCCAGGGTTTGTGGTGTGGCCCCACCAGTACCCAGCTCAGGGGGACAGTCACTGCCTTGATTTCTGCCCAGCACGAGCTGCTTTTATTTGCAGTGCACATTTGGTACAAATTAAAGCTCTGTTGGAGCCAGCTGCTCCAGAGCTCCTTCATGTGCCAAGGCACCTCCCATATTGATGCTTTTTATCACCAGGCTGTTCCAAACTACAATTTTATTGTCCAGAAAAAGATGATGCAGAGCTGCATGGGAAGCGTCAGCTATTTTATGCAATGCTGTTTATTGTTTCAGAAAAGCAACTTTCAGAATGGAATGGCTGCTGCCATGCTTACTGACCTCCTCAAGAAAGCTTTTGGCTGTGCCTTTTCTTTCTTCTAAGGGAGGGGAAAATATCAGGATGAGAAAATTGGTGTATGGTAGTGAAGAGGAGAAATCGAGCAGGACTGTCCCTGACCAGGCTCCTCCTCCATACCCATTCTGGCTCCTCCCAGAGGCTGAACTCCAAGGGTTGAGCAGATAAAACAATCAATTTCTGTATCTTATCCCTTGTCCATTGCATTATCTCAGCACAAACAAACAGCTGGTTTCTGCACTGCTCAGTTAAGCTCCTCTGGAGGGAGCAGCAGCCACGGCATTGCTGAGATGCAAACAGGGCTGGGGGAACTGGTCCATCCTCCACTGGCACTGCTGGCAGAGGTGGCAGCACTCCCAGGCAAGGAACACTGCCCCATGCAAATAATTCGTTTGGAATTATAACGTCTGCCTGCAGTTTTCTCCCTGGAGCTTGCAGTTACCCCTCTCTTACAGGGGCACAGAGCCAGTTCAGCTTTATCAGCTCCAGCCATCTGCATCATCACTAACCTCAATGACAGTATTAATCACCCCTCAACAAAGAAAGGATGGCGGCTGGATTTGGGCTCCTGAGGACTTCACAAGGCTTGTGAAAAGCCTTGCCAGAGAGGCACCGACAGTGATAGCCGAATACATTAAAGGCACATTGACACCATGCTAAAATCAATGTCACGCTTCCAGAAAGGCCCGTTCAGTTCTTCCCATCAGGGTGTCACTGCCTCTGATGACCAGCAGGTAATTAGCAGCTGCCCAGGCGCACCGGCCGGGCTGGCAGCACCGTGCAGGCTGTCCCTCAGCATCGCGGCTCTGCAGCCTGGGCCACATGAGCCCAGGACCCCTGCATCTTTGATTTCCGAGGCTCACAGCCCACATTCCCCAGGAAGGAGCAGTATTTCAATCGTCCCCGGGAAGGACGTTTTCTAAGTTTGCAGGACATGGAGGTCACCAGGTAAATGCTTTAGGTGGCCAGAATATAACAAATGCCTTTCAACAATTCTTATGGGAAACCCAGAGAAAAGAAGGCAGAGGTTTAAAGTTTGTCACCTCCAAATCTTCTTGTTCTGCACCTTCCACCATCAGAGGGTGCAAAGGCAAAAGCTGTTTCATCTGTGGAGCCGGAGCCATGTCCAGGGGTCAGCAGCCACCTCTGAGCCACTCAACACAGTGCTATGTTATTCAAGGTGATCCCTTCCCTGTAACACTCAGAAAACTGGTTTTACAGCCCTTCAGTCATGCTAATTTGCTGATGATTGTAATAAGATGTTTGTAAAGGAAAGCCAGGTAAGTGGGCTTTATTCAGTTTAATCACCGTGTTAATTGTATAGGAGATGAGCACCATTTAAGTTGTATAACTAGAGTATAAATCTCCTTAAGTAGGGTTCACTTAGAACAAAAACATCTCACCCACGAAACCACCTTCTCTCCAAGAGTATCCTTCCCATCAGCCGACAGAGGTAAAGAGAGAAGAGAGGCTGCCCTGAGGCTCTTCACCACAACCATGAAAGTCAATAAAGCCACACAAGGCGTTCCCTTTTCTCCAGGGATGCGGTTTTAGCTCGGAGAGGTTTACTTGGGCAATGTAAATTGTCGACATGTTTTGCTAAAATAAAAGCAAAGGCTCTATAAGGCAAAGGGGACTGACTCAAACTCCTCTGAAGTAATGGAACACTTTTAGCAGCTTAACTGCCCCTCAGGGGATGACAGCTCACATCTCCTTTGCCTGTTTCTTCAGTCAAACCCACCTGCGGTTTCTCTGCCAGACCCAGCCCACTTCTGCTCTCCTGCATCTCTCTTCTAGAAATAGCCCCCTCCAGGTTTCCTCTTGTTATAGACGACAATACAGTTATTGGCTTTTGCATTTATATATTGATTACAGCTGTTGCTAGAGGAACAAACTGAATTTCATCTGCCAAGGCAAAGGTAAAGAACCCTGTCCTCACTGGTCTCCATCCTCAGCAATTTATAGTGTAGTCTTAGTCCAACCTCAGCATTAGCCCCTTATCCCAGCAGTGTCTGCTAAAGCCACATTAATGCTTCACCCCCTTCAGGTTCTTGACCTTTTCTTCACACTCTGGCTCCACCAGCAGCAATCTGTACCAGAGCTACAATCAATAGCCTTGAGACAGGACAGAAAGAAATTAAATTTATAGTTTATTATAATTTCTGCAAATCAGCTTATACTTGGGCAAGAGATCTTTACAAAATCTGTTCCCCCTTCCCAGATATAAATTCCTTGCTGGAGTTAAGAAGGAGATTGGGCAGGCAGTGCTGCTCCAGGGAAAGGTCAGCAGAACTACAGCCATCTGAGAGCCAAGGGTCAGTCCTTGCCTCCCTCTTGGATGGAAGAAAAGAAATGAACACAGAAAGGAAAGCCAAGCTGAGGCAGTCACCCAGGTCACAACACTTTCAGCTCAAACAACTAAAGCTGGCAGAATTGTCAGCAACTGAAAACCTGAAGATAGGAACTTGTTGTGGAATAAACTGAAGCATCAGAGCACTGGGCAGCAGCGACCAGCTCCCCAGCACTCTGGGAAACACCTGCACCAAAGAAACCCCCGAAGAGAATCACAGAATCACAGAAGCACAGCATGCTGTGGGTCACCAGGACCCTAAAGCTCGTTCAGTCCACACCCAGCCAAGGGCAGGAACAGACCAAGCTGCTCCAAGCCCCATTCGACCTGGCCTTGAACAGGCACCCACAGCTTCTCTAGGACATCTACGCCAGTATCTTACTACTTTCGAGAGATAAACACGAAGGTCAGGCTTCCAGACTCCCGGCTTCTCTTCACCGGGAGCTCACGAGACGCAGCCCCTGAGGTGCGGGACTGGAGCGGTGCGGGATCGGAGCGGTGCGGGATCGGAGCGGTGCGGGATCGGAGCGGTGTGGGACCCCCGAACGGGCGGCGCCGCTCCCGAGCCCGGGAGGAGGAGGAGGAGGAGGATGAGAAGGGAGCGCCGAGGGGCCGGGCAGGGACTGGCCGGCAGCCGCTCGCTCCATCCCCGCTGCCAGGCCCGCAGCCCCCGGCCCGCTCCCCTCACGGCCCGCTCCGCTCCCGGCCCGCTCTGCTCCCCTCACGGCCCAGCCCCGGCCCCGCTCCGTGTGACGCCCCGCACCGCTTTCGCTTTCCCTTCCAATGCGAAGGAGCTGCGGCCTCGGCTGCCGGCCGCCCTCGGGGAGAGGCCTGGGGGAGTAGGGGATGGGGGCCAGGGGCACCGGCCCGGAGCCGGGGCACAAGGAGCAAAGCGGCTCCCCCGGCCGCCTCTGACACTGCGGGCTCATCTCTTCCCCAGGCGCCCGGCCGCGATTTTCCTTCCCCTGACCTGCAGAAGGGCAGGTGAAGAAGCACTAAGGCTGCTCACCGAGGGGAGGGCTCTAACAGATGTGTAGATGTGGCACCTGGGGACGGGGTTTAGTGGTGGGCTTGGCAGTGCTGCTGGGGAAATGGTTGGACTGGATGGTTTTAGAGGCCTTTCCCCACCGGAACGATTCTGTGAGTCCCTGTAGATAAGGCAGACCCAGCTCCCACAAGGTCATTTACCTCTTGGGACTTGACGAGAAGGCACTTGGAGTGGTGGGAGAAGCTTTCTTCATGGGAAGGCTGCAGTCCCATAACAGGAGAGCCCCCTCTGACCAATACCCTCTCTGCAACTGAGAGCAGGAGCTGCATGAACTCTGGTGGCTTGGATAAAGCTATCAGAGCACTGAGGAGTTCTTATGGCTAAGAACAATTAATGAATAAATCAAAAGAGAATTAAGTTGGCTCACCCCAGGGGCAAAGAACCCTCCAGATGGTCACAATTAAGATACTTCAAGAAGTCTCACTTGTAGCAGAAAGCCGGCACTGACACAGCCAAGGGGAGAATAGCTGGGACTCTCAGAAGTGCTTTGCAGGAACGAGGAACATCCTCCTCAGCTGGTCTGCAATACCCTCCTGCACAGCTGCTCACTCCAGGAGGAGGCAGCAGCTGCTACCAGGAATGCTCACTCAGTGACTGCAGGCTTTTAAGGTATTTTCTTCAGGTAATCAATTACCTGGTGTTCTTGGACAGTTGCTGCTTATCAGTCATTATTTACATTGCCTCGAAGTAAAGCTGACCTAGGAGGCAGTACACTTGTAGTTTGTTAGAAGTCAGGCAAAGAGTCAAGTGACACAGGTAAGACTTGCTGTGAGGATTCAAAGATTTACAGTGCAAGTGAGACAGAAAAACTGTCTCCCTGCAGTTATGGACATCATCTCCAGAAACTACTGGCTTTGCACAGTGCAGACTCTGGTTTTGGAGATTTTTTTTTTTTTCTCAGAAGCATTTGTTTCTGAACAAGAATTTCTGGAATGCTGCTCCCAGACTCTGTTCAGAAGAATGACCCCAAATGTAAGAAAAACCACTGCGAACAGGCTGCTAGAGGCACCAGGGGTTTTACATGAAACCACAGACTGGTTTGGGTTAGAAGGGATATTAAAGCTGATCTCATTTCAACCCCTGCCATGGCAGGGACACCTTCCACTAGATCAGATTGTTTTAAGCCCTGCAACCTCACCTTGAATATTTCCAGAGATTGGCCAGCCACAGCTTGTCTGGGCGACTTGTTCCAGTAGGCACTTGCCCCTCCACAGTTGAGAATTTCTTTTCAATCTCTAATCTAACCTTGTCCTTGACAGTTTGAAGCCATTTCCCCTTACCCTGTCACTCCATGCCCTTGTCCAAATCCCCTCTCCCACTCTCCTGGAGTCCCTTTAGGCCCTGGCAGGGGCTCTCAGGACTCCCTGGAGCCTTCTCTTCTCCAGGTGAGCACCCCCAGCTCTCCCAGCCCAGCTGCAGAGCATTGGGGCTCCAGCCCTCAGAGCATCTCCAGGGCCTCCTCTGGACTGGCTCCAGCAGCTCCACGTCCTTCTGATGCTGGGGACCCCAGAGCTGGACACAGCATGGCAGCTGGGGTCTCACAAGAATAGAGGGGCAGAATCTTGTCTCTTGACCTGCTGTTTATTCTAAGAGGGTAATCATTCTGCTTTTGTTCTGCTCAGATCCTGGGCAGCACATCTGCGTTGCACAAGTGCTGCTGCTCCTCTTGCTGGGCTCTGGGCTGATGGGCTCCTGGGCACTGCAGGCCTGTTGCTATTTGGATGTACACAGAGAGCTCTTACACAAAGATCCAGGGTACAGACAGTCCAAGGGATCTCAGACTGGCTGTTAAACAATGAAACTTCATACCAAGAGCCTTTCAAAGGATACTAGGATATATTTCTAAACATGAAGATGAAAAAAAATAATTTAAAATCATTTTAAAGATAATTCCAGACATTTTATTCGTAATTTTACAAATAACAAGCATTTCTCTATTAAAAAACCTAGGGTAAGAATCAATGTAGGTACAGCTAGGAATATTTACATTCTTAGAAGAAATTGATATCTTTCTATGTACAAGGCTGTAGCCATTACTGGTTTAAGGTACTCCCAAAAGCATGTCTACCTAAGGCTTTATGGTCCTAAGCGGATTCTGTGTTTTAAGAAAATAATTTATAACTGTGAGGACTAAGGTTCTATTCCACAAATACTGAAACAGGTGTTGCAGTCCAGCTCCCCAGGCAATGCACTCCATCCCTGTGTACCCATCCACCCCAAATGCTCACTTGCAAAGGGAGGAGGAGTTCACACCTCTTCACAAAACAGTGTCAGAAGTCAGCCAAAGTTGCCCCATCGTGGAATATGAAGTACTAAATGATGCTTATGGGAGCATTACATTCACTGTCAGGAGAGTCAGAAATTGTTAGAGCAATCACGTGTGGAGCACGAACATCACAAGTAGGTGTAGTATCTTTTGAGTTAATGGCATTTCCAAGCAAAGCAACAGAAGTCACAAGATTATCTGACATGGCTGAGATGATGACAGGAGTCAGCCTGAGAGCTGGAAAGGATCCTGGATCCTTGTCCCCAAGGCCATATGCTACTTCCCTTGGTGAAGATAAGGCAGTGTGATTGTTCTCTGGCAACAGGGAATCCTCCCTAACCAGGTAACTGAAACATGCATTGCTGCTGTGATACAGGTTATAGGCACCCAAACCATGCAGGATTTCCCTGGTTAAGGTCAGTCTGAGTGTCAAAGTCTGTTCATCTTCTTCCTCTGCAGCACAAGCTCACAGGTTTATCACAATTCCTCTTCCAAAGGTCAGTTCTGTCCTTTCTCCCTATTCTGCAGGTACTCTGTGCTGCAAATCTTATCTGTTGCCAGCATGGACACCACTCTAAGATTTGCCCATTACTGTATCAGGTCCTTTTATCTCTATCTTGTTTATTGAAATATTTCCTCAGTTCCTTTTGGAGATGCCTGTTACGTACCAGAACAAGATCTTTGGCTTAGAACTGAACTTGAAAAGAGTAGGATAACACAGTAAGTATAAAATAACCCAGTCTGCTATATCAATTATGTTCCACATTTCTGACTCAATCTTTGTTTTTCAAAACATAAGCAAGGGAAAAAACCTTTCTTTGACATGAAGTGATTGCCATTGATTTTTGTAGTATTAGTCACAACCAGAAAATTCCCCAATCTGGATTTAAAAAAAAAATTCCAAACCAACAATAACAACAGAAAACCTCACAAAGAACTTCAGTAAACATAAAAATATTTAAATATTCAAGAAAAAATGTCTCTCTTTCAAGGCACATACTTTGATAAAACAGTGGGTAAGAAATTACAGCTAAATCAGGTGTTAAATTGACACTGCACTTTAGGACTGGAATTTCCAGACTAAATAATCTCTCAAGGAAGCACTTATTTTACATTTCAGGGTATTTTCTGAAGCTGTTTACAGGAAGAGCCTTATGGGACATGGTTGTTTACATTGGCAAATTCCTTACAAGGAAGTTGCAGCTAAATGTGTTTTGCCTCAGATTCCTGCAGTTACCAGGTCATTCTTCAACACACACAAAAAAATCTGCTTCTCACTGTTCCAGTTCCTAAACATAAGGCTTACAAAGAAAACTATTTGTACTATGTTTTACAACATACTCTTATGTTTGCAATGGGTATTTCAAAAAGGTGGTAAACCTAACAGATCAGGTCATGTTTTCAGGCAAGGGGCACTGGCTGTTACATGCACTATCCTGACATGTATTTGTTCATGTCAAGGCTGTCCTGTGATGTACAGCGAGGCTTGTAAAATCCAGAGTCTCAATTTTGGCAGTAGCCTCAAACCACACACTGCATTTTAAACCTGCCTGCTCAGGGCTTGTCAACCTACTAAACAGGAGTGACACTGAACCTGCACCAAGCTTTGGATGTTTTTCCTTGGAAAAGCTGACAACACTGTGCTTGTTGGTATCATTCTCTGACCTGGGGACATTGGTCAGCTCCTTGCTGCATTTGTAAATGCAAATCCTAAATAAAGAGGTGAGAAAATGCAGGAAAAGTGAAGAAAAAGTGAAGAACTGAACCAAGAAATGAAACACCTAGTACTGAAGTGAACTAGAAGTTCACCTAGAACTAGAAGTGAACCGTAGAACTCAAGACACTGTTAGGAAGAATTTAACCCAACCAAACCACTATTGTCTATACAGCATTTTCTACTTTCTTCCTGTGGCAAGCAGTCCAAGGTACACTTCAGTCCCATTTATTTCACTATTGCTGGAGTCTGTTACCAAGGTCAGAATTTGGGATATTGATTAATGAAAGACTGGAATCAGCCAACACCACCTGTATATTTAAACGCCACAGGAAAATGCAAAATTTCCCCAACCAGCTGCTGCAGTAAAGGACCCTGAGAGTTTAGGCTACAAAGGTTTAGGCTGTTTATTATTATTGTCTTAATTTAACAAGACAAAACAAAACACAAGTGCCATGAGAGAGAAACCTTTCACCACTCACATTTGTCACACTGTAACCAGCATAACACAAATGAGACTCTGTGTACATATTGTGTATTTAAAGAAACACAGGTAATGCCAAACTTCCATAACACAAGGAATGGTTTCTTGGCAGACTGACAACAAGATTTGTGGGTTTGTTGGGTTTTTTTAAACAATTTAAAAGCAATTCACTGATTACATAAGTTAAGTGAAACTTAGAATGAACAGACCTCACAGCAATCATATAGCTGACACTTGAAGATGGAGAATCATGGGTCAGAGATATATTCTGAGTTTTGTTCTCAGTACATTCCACCATGAGGTCAGTGCAGTGGCATGATTAACATGAAAATTTACAACTAAATATATTAATTGTGTGCATGTGTGTATGAGTGGGAAAAACACAGAACAAAGACAGGAGAATTGTTTCCATCATCCAAATTGCACAGAAAACATTAAAACAATTTATACATAAAACTTTCACCACACATTGAAAAGGGAGAATGCCAAACACCACTCCCTTTACACACAGGTGAAACCATTTGCATTATTTAGAATAAATCCAGCCTGAAAAAAGGCCATATCCAAGGTCAGATGTAAACAACTTCACCAAGAAGGTATAGTTGAAATCCAGCATTGGAATCAAGTGAATTTTGTGAACAAAATTTCAGTGCTAAATACTTTGTGCAAGGCAATCCTTTCAGTCTATGCTGAGTTAAAACATAACAGGTTAGAATTAATTCTCAAAATCTTTCTTTGCATCTTTCTCAGTTTGGTAACAAATTCAGCATATGCAAAGTCATTTGAGCAAGATCACAGAGAGGCACGTTGTCATAAACCTATAATAATAAATAAGTTTCCTGTCCACAAACAGAAGTCAAGGAACCAAAAGCAATTTTTTCAGGCAATTTTTACCTCTTGATGTAAGCATTAGCTCTGGAGGAGGTTCACTGAAGAATCCAGGCCCCCTGCCAGCCCTTGAACTAATTTTCAAGTATCTTTCAGCTGAACTATGTGGAAAGTTACAAAAGATTGATCAGATTCTGCTCCATGGTACTACTGCATGAACTCAACCGTGGCTGAAAAATCTCATTGAAGGC